AGGGAGGGGGAGGCGGTTGAGCCGATCGCTGAGGCCCTGGCCGACCCCTGACCTTGATCGTGACCTGAGAGGTTACCCCTGGAGGTCAGAGGTTGTGTGAAAGTGCCACGGTGGCGATTCACTCCACTGCTGGGTGATGATGATCTTATGCAGCCTCCCCAGCCTGTCTGACAYGATCAGCGTTGCGCCTCTGCCTGCGGCCCCCGGGGGCCCCGCGTCCATCTCTAACCCGCACAAGGCCCCGCTAAAAGCACCTTACAGGCAGAGTGGATGAGCTGAAGCAAGGCTGTTTTAGTCTTTCACCCTGTAGCTCCAGCTCGTATAACCACACCAAGAATGTGTGTTTTCATCTCTATATTTAAACTTTACTCAAATCTGCATGAGCTGATGAGGCTTTTTAAATCTCTTGGCATCAACATGCTCCTGCTGCTGTCCTCATCATGAACAACTGAAGCTCAACTCTGATTGTGTGAATGCTTCTAGAGCATTCTCATTATTCAGATGATTTTTTCTTTTATTCCGGAGTTTTTGTGTCATTTCAACAATTTATATATCAACACGTTCAGCTCATTCAGGACATTCTGGCTATAACTTTTAGTACTTCAGCAATTGAGATATTTAGCCTTTTCTGCCATGTTTTTCCTCATTGAAAATGAAAAGGGCTGTTTTCAACATCCTTTAAATGTTCATAAATATGTACTGTTTTAGTTCTTCTTTTTCAAACTGTTTTGTGCTCATTTCAGCTTCTAATTTTTTTATTTTAATTTTTTCTGCTTTTATATTGTCATTTTTACATTTTCTGCTAATTTAGGTATTTTGTGCTGCTTTTAGCTTCTTTCTGCTCATTTAATCTGTTTTTTTTTGTGTGTTTTTAGCTACTTTTTGGAGTGTTTTTTTAGCTAAACTCCTTATAATAATTTCAGCTTTTTACTGCTTAATTCAGCAAATGTGCTCTTTCAGTTTCTTTTTGCTAATTTCAGCTCCATTTTTTAAAGCTATTTTAGGCTAATTATTGTTTTTTAGCTATTCAGAAAAATCTCCCAGCATCAAGCATTCACATTAGTTTTACATTGTAATTATAATTCAGCTGTCAAAATACGAGATTTTTCAGTCTTTTTGCTTTAGATTTGTTGTATATACGTGCTCATGTATGATACAAAACAGTCATTAAATATGAATCAGTAACTACCAGATGTCTGACACATCTGTAATAAACAAGTGAAATCAACAGAGTCATATTTTGTTGCCAACAAATACACATTGTTTACATTCAAACACTGACGAGCACGCTTACACAGTCGGTAAATTAAACCCCGGATATAAACAGAGTCAGTTTATGTTACATTAACCTCCAGTCGTAGAAATTGTTAGAAACACGAAAATTGTAATCGAAAGTGCTGAAAAATCATGCATTTTAACAGAAGTTGTTTGTGGAAAAACTAGCAAAACTGTGATCATATGTGATCTGTTATGGTAAAATATGTTAGAAACAAATAAACACTAAAAATTGCGTAAAAATTACTTTATAAAGACACCGAAACGTTTTCTATTATTTTTTGGAAGAGCCACTTATGAATGGTCATCAGTGTGTGTTCCCATGCGTTTGACCCATCACACATGAGATGAAGAGGTGAGCAGATATGTAGGCGGAGCTTGAACCTGAGACTTTCTGGTCTAACACTGCACCACAGCCAACATTTCTAATCAGAACCTCGAACCTGGTAACTCCACTAGAGGGATCCTCATGGAGCCCAGGTGTTAAAGTGCAGATATGATAAGTTTTTTAGGTTAGAGATGTGCTTTGACCTGTCAGTCATTTCTAACTGTGTATGCATCTATGAGGTATCAGCACATGGACTGCTGATGATTTGCAGACTTTTCCACAGTTGTTGCAAGGAAAACAAATCAAGCTACAGAGTAACAGCAGAAAGGATTTTACCATCCAATTTTAAATAGAAGCTGCAGCCAGCTGAGTTTAGTTTAAATAAGTCTGTTGTTTTTACAAGTGTTGAGTTAAAATTTGAGTCATTCACAACACAGATATAAGCTTTACATTAAAACCACAAATAACCACATAAGATTGAYCTTTTCTCACAAAATTAGTTTAATTTAATTCACTTCATGTTTCTGAAGAGGTCAATACAATCATAAACTTAGTTATTTGTTCTTGTTGACTGAAACCAAATATGTACCATGTTTACCTGATCACAATCAGAACCAGTATTCGTTTCAGGTTTTCTCTGGTACGAGATAACGACACAAGTGCAGCATAATGAACACATTGCAAAGCTACTAAACTGGCACGGATTATCTCAGACCTGTATTTCTGGTTTGGCTTTAATGTTAGGTAGCATCAGCAGCAGTCAGAGGCCCGGCGAGGAAAACACTGATTAACAAAAAGGGGAAGAAATGACAGGATTAAACACTGGATTCATCGGCTCATCTGCAGCACAGATCGATTTAAGTCAGTATTTATWAAAAAAAGTTTTATAATGTGAATCACATTGCTGTTATTAAATCTTAATGATTAAATAGAGGCATGAACATTTCTTACGACACGCACAGTGGCAGTGATTCAATGTGTTTCTTTTATAAAATGCATGTGACTGGGCGTGAGGAGAAAACTGCAAATCTCTTTATTATATCTATAAATGAAGTATGAAATAAGGCAAAGCTATTTCAGCTGCGTATCAGCTGTTCATACTTCAGGAGGAGACACAAACAGCTTGAAATCAAATCAGCTAATCGCCTGAAAGTTTGGCGTAAAGAATGCCCACCTTTGTATCCAGTCAAAGAGGTGTTATTATCTATGGCACATTCTTGGGTTATTTTCAGTGAATACAATTAAAGTGCAATGACTGTGAGGGGGGAAAAAGAAGCAAATAATTGGTGGCAGAAAATAAATGAAATGCAATATTTTTTCGTAAAAGCAGCTTTACAAAAAAAGAAATATATCACCAAAGTGTGAAGGCGTGCAGGCGTGGATTTTCCACGTTSCAGGCCTGAGATCACAATCTACAGGTTTAAATTTGGGAAGCCACAAAGTGCTAAAAATGAAAACAAGGTTTTCAGCAGATGTGTCGGCCTGATAAAACCGAGGCGCTCGGCTCAGGAGGTTCAGAGACTCGTTGATGTGTTTTGAGGTGAACGAGGCAGGGCGGTTTGACACAGGGATCCAGGGCGCGCGCACACACACACACATACAGACACACACATACACACACAGAGACATGCGTGCAGCCTGATTAGATTCTTTGCATATTTCTCTTAGGCGCTTCGACACACTGTAGAGGTCAGAGGTCACAGTCGGCAGGAGTGACGCCTCGGGAGCGGCCGGGGTTCACACTGACCGCTCAAGGTCACTTCAGCAATAGATACGGATGCACACTGACAGTCTGACCACTGCTGCTGCAGCAACATGACCAGATGAGAGGACGAACTGCATTTTAAAAGGTTTTTTTTCAGGGTTCTAATTAAAATACTGTTCCTATAAATAAAACTAATTTGTACATTAGAACGTCTCTTATGGCAACAAATATTTGCAATAATCATTAAACTGAAATGATTCCGTTTAATATTTCGTAAGTGGGACAGATAATACCCATTCAGATTTATTATGGTGTTTTCATTTATAAAATATAAGCTAATTGGATGATGTTGTACCAGTAACGACTGTATCAAACTAAAAGAAGACATTTTAGCCTAAATTTGACATGTTCAGAAGAAATTGGGACAATTTATTTCTTTGTCATATCTTCCTCTTTTTTTTTCTCCCAGCACATAACAGTCRGAGAAAACACTGGAGCTGAATGTCTTTCTTCTGTCTCCATTTTCACATATGGTTTCTGTTGACAGATTACTGACTGGGYCTGCTGGGTAAACTTTATAAGGCCCAATGTGTGGTGGTGGGGGTGGTGTCTAATGATCCAGAAATGTACAGTAAGTTTTAATAAAAGCAAACTAAAGTAAATAAATGCTACAGAGAAACAGCTGCATTAAAAAAAGAAACAAACTAAAATGTATGCAGAGATCTAAACTGGTCTAAAGGAGACATTCAAAAAACAAAATGAGACAGTCACAAAAGGCTAAGAAACAAAATACCTAAATTAAAACATCCTKATGCATCTCAGTAATCCATCAGTAATCCATAACAATTTTTTAAATTAAAACAAAAAACGTTAAAGTTAAATTCTTTAAAGTGGGGTTCTGTGAAAAGGTTGTGAACAAATCATATCTTACCTGTTGTAGACGGCTCTTTGAAAACCTCAGTTTGGAGAATTAAAGTTGAATCCTGACCCGACTGGCACCTTGTTTTTCATTACACTTTTATTTACATGGAATTACAATGTGTGTGTGTGTGTGTGTGTGTGTGTGTGTGTGTGTGTGTGTGTGTTTTTTTTTTTTAAAGTACTCTGAAGTTGTTTGAA